GGGAGGGCGCCGGCCGCCCGCCCTGCCCCGCTGCTGCCGGTACCGCCGCCGCACTCAGCGCACCTGCCCCATCCCCGCCGCCCCGCGCCTCTTATCCAACGGAGCGGCTCCGCTCCGGGAGCCCCGCCCGCCCCGCGCCCCGCCCCGCCCCGCAGCTCCCACCGAGGGGGGGGCGATTGGGTGTTTGTGTGTGGGGGGGGGGGGACACGCGCGGGGCGGGGCCGTGGGGGTGGGACCGGGACACGCGAGACCGTGGGAGAGGGAGGGGATGCGGATGCTGAGCCGGGCATCGCGCCCTCAGCCCTCCCTTCCTGCAGCATTAATTAAAGCGTTAATTAGCCGGGCTTTCCCCGACCCCCGGTGTCACCACGGACACGGCCCAGGGGTGGCTCAGGGACCCCCCCTCGTGTTTGCTTTGTGACCCCACAGCTCTCCCACCTCCATCGACCCCATCTCCATCCCTCCCATAGCGCTGGGCAGAGGGAAAACCCAACACCGTGCGCTCATAACCGCCCCCCAGGACAGAACCCCTAAATTCCCAGCCCCCCCTCCCCGGATCCACCCGGCAGCCCACCCCATGTTCTACCCACTCTCTGCCCCTTCCCGTGCCCACCCCACGTTCAGGCCTCCCCACTGCCCGCCCTTGACCCGTCCTGGAGAAGTCCCCGTGTCCCCGCCGCCATCACGAAGGCGTTCTGCCCCGGGGGGGCCACTTCCCTTGGCTGCTCCCCAGCTCAGCACTGGTCAATACTTTCCATTCTCTGTGGGGCAGTGCCGCAGGAGGGTGGGGGACGCCCCACACGCACCACTCCTGACCCACGCTGGTGGAAGTGTGACCCCAACATTGGCCTGGCTGTTTGCAGTTTGGGGGTCTGGGGTCTCATTGTGGGGAGGGGGGAGGAGGGGGCTGGGCTCAGGGATGACACAAGGAGGGATGCACGCTACCTCACCTGCCTCTAAATCCTCCAAACCACAGCCCAAGGATTGGGATGGGATGAGGATGGGAATGGGGATAGGGACGGGGAATGGGATGGGTCTGGATCCCCCATGAAAGGCCTCAGCTATTATCCTCAGGGCAGGAGGAAATGGAGAGAGAAGGATGCGTGGGGTGGGGGCCATGGGGGCAGCTGGAGGGGACCCCCTGTCCTGGCACTGCCACCTCTGGTGGAGGACCTGGGGGGGGGTCTCACTGGGGGTCGTGTGTTGCCCATCAGACAGCTGAGCAGCCACTGGGGATGGCTTTCACTGCTCACTGTGGTCCCCGAGCTCACATCTCTATGCAAAGCCCCCCCTTGCTTCCCCCCTCCCTCCCCCCCCACATCTTTCTGACTCCCCACCAGCTCCTAACCCACAGGGGGAGCAGGATGGGGTGGGGGCATGCAGCAGCTGCCGGGGGGGGAGCATTGCTTTGTGTGCACGCAGGGCAGAGCACAAGCACAGCAGCTGCCCCCCAACCCCCCCCACACACCTCACCATGAGCACCCCCGGCTGTAGGGGCACAGCTGTGCCCCCTCCCGGAGCAATGGGTTCCCCATTGAGAACAAGAAGGGAAAAGAGGGAAAATTCCAGAAAGCATTTAGAGGAAGGAAAAAATAAAGGCTGAGGGGCATGGATGGAGTGTGTGGGGTGGGGGGGTGTGGGGAGGAGTGCCTCATTAACGAGGGAGAGGGGGGGGGGCACAAAGTGCTGCAGCACATGTGTCCCCTGACGTCACCATCTGCTAATTCACTCCCTTTGCACCACCACCAGCAAGGATAAATCCTCAGCACCCCCTGCTGTGGGATCAGCCCCATGGAGCGGCCGTGTCACCTCTATGGGGTCACAGCAGGGTGAAGGAGCACGGCCTTGGGGACACAGCTCTGTCCCCAGCGTGTCCCGTCCTTCAGTCCCCCCCGATGGTAAAGTGACACCGGGTTGGGAGCTGCCCTCCCTGGGACACACAGCAGGGTGACGGTGCCAGCGGTGTCCCTGCACGGGGGGGGGGGACGCATACGGGGTCAGGAAGGGGAGCAGAGTTGGGAGCCATCCTGGCTGCCACCAGGGCGTCCTCAGTCCGATGTCCTCTGCTGTGTGTTGCCTGTGCAATGTGGGCTGGGAGGATTTGGGTCCCAACCTCCCCATGAGTGGAGGGCAGGAGACCTGGGACCCTCTGGGGACAAATCTCCCCTTCCACCATTGCGCCTCAGTTTCTCCTGCGGGCAGCAGGCGCTGGAAGGACAGCTGTCCCCATGTCCTGCTGTCCCCAGTCCCGCTGTCCCCATGTCCCACTGTCCCCATACCATGCTGTCCTCATGCCATGCTGTCCCTCTGTCCCTCCCCCCAGACCAGCCCCCAGCTCAGGCTGCTGGTTGGGGCTGTGCAGAGCAGGTTTTGCTTTTCCTCCAGGAATTTGCACGCAGGGGACCGAGGGGAAACTCGGGGGGTTATTTTTTTAGTCGATCTCATTGTTCCTCTTTTCATTATTAAAACCAACACAAACTCATCAGGCGCCTGCAGGGGCTAAATTTGGTCACAGGGAAAAACAAAAATACTCCCCCCACCCCGGAGGGATTTGCATCTCGCTGCTGCTCGAAGGCAGCGCGGTGCCCAGGGCTCCATGCAAACTGCAGCGAGGTGAGGCTGGGACGGGCAGCTGCTGGGACCTCATTACCAGGACCTGGGGGGCAGAGCAGCGATGCTGGACCCCCCCCTTGGTTACCAACCTCCCCCCGATGCTGGCTCAAGCTGTACCCAGGCCCAGGTCCTGTTTTGGGGGTGGCACTGGTGCCATTCTTGCAGCACAAAGCAGCACTGTGTCCTATGAGTTCCACCAGATGGGGGAAACTGAGGCACAGGTGGTGGTGGGGGGGGGGTGTTCACCCCCATGGGGATGATGCACGGCTGGGAGCTGACTGGGGGTCTCCACCCCACCATGGCACATCCTGGTCACAGCTGTGTGCCACCTCTGTGCCCTGAAATCTGGGGTGTTGTTGGGGGGCACGGGGACAACACAGCATTGTAGGGCTTCTCCGGAGCAACCCTTGGAGGGGTTTCCATCCATTGGGACGGATCCTGGCTGGGAGGAGGGGATGCTCAGCACCCATGGGTGCTGTGTGAGCAGTAGCAGCCGCTCTGGGGGCAGTGGGGGGGGGGGGGGGAGACGACAAGAGCAGACGGCTCCTTAATCTCAGGGAAGGAAGCAGGCTCTGGTTACCGAGCTGCCCTCGGTGTAAAAGGAGAGGAACAGGAAGAAAAGTCATTAACATAGCTCGGTGCCATCCAAAACCCTCCTGGTGTTCACCCTCTCCTTTAACCCCTGCGCAGTCCCAGCCTGTGGCTGTGGGGCTCACAGTGCACCCACACTGCTGCCCACCTCCCCGGGAGTCCAACCATGGTTCAGCTCTGCTTCTTCCTCTTCCTCCTCCTCCTCCTCACCACCCCCGTGGGATTTGTCCCCAGCCCTGTGCAGGAGTTGCTGTGTGCGGGTGCCCCATGCAGGGGGGAGCACAGGGCTGGGGTGTGTGCAAGGTGACAGTGTGCGTGAGTGTGCAAGCAGCTGTTGTGTGCATGGGTGTGCATAGTGCTGCGCGTGTGTGTGCAGGTGTGCAAAGGGCTGGGGTGTTTGTTGGGTGTGCAAGAGGCTGCCATGCACGAGGGCGTGCAAGAGGTCAGCGCGTGCACAGATGTGCAAAGGGTGGTGGGTGTGCAAAGAGCCGTGTGCGGGCGAGGGTGAGCAAAGGGCAACGAGCGTGCACGGAGAGGCCGATGTGTGCGTGAGCGTGCACGAGGTCCGCGTGTGCAAAGAGTGGTGTGTCTGCATGGGTGTGCAAAGGGCTGTGTGTGTCCACGGGCGCTCAGAGGTGCTGCTGTGCGCATGTGTGTGTGTGTGTGTGTGTGTGCACACGAGGACGGGTGTGTGCAGGCTCTACCCCCCCCCCCATCAGTGCCAGCCCCCCCGCTGGGCCGGGGGAGTCCGTTTCAGCCCCCCCCGCCTCCCTCTGACCCCTCGCCCGATTCCTGTAGGACCCGATTTGCTTCACAGGATTCAGATCAGCCCTGAAAAGCCGCGGTTCCCTCCGGAGCGCTCGGGGGCCTCAGCCCCTGTCCGTCCAGCTTAACGTGACGGTGACGTGGGGGTCTCGGGGCGCAGCCCCCGGCCCTTCATCTTCACCGGGGCGTGATGAGCGCTGACCGCGCGGGGGGGGGCCCAGCGTGAAGCTCCTGACAGCGCGGGGATGGGGGGCAGCCTGGGGATGCGACGGAGCAGCCGCGTGCGTTCGCTTCCACGGCACGGCTGGACCGGGCAGAGCGCGGTCATGGAGCCGGCGGTGGGGCTGTGGCTGCAGGGATTGGTGGCACGGGTGATGTGGGGACACCGAGGTTTGGACCCCACCCAGAGTGGGGCTGTGGTTGCCGGAGCCCTGGAGAGGTGATGTTCATGGTGAGCTCCAGAGGGTCGGTGCTGCTCCTTCACGTGCCATCCTGCAGGGTGCTGTTCTACCCTGCTGGGTCCCAGACTGACCCACTGAGTCCCATCTGATCCCATCCCAACCTGTGAGCTCCCATCCTGCCCTGTTGGGTCTCATCCCATCCCATCTTATTGGATCCCAACCTTTCCTTTTGGGTCCCACCCCACCCTGTGTGTCTCATGGGCTCCCATGCCATCTCATCCATCTCATCCCATCCCATCCCATGGTTCCCATTTTGCCCCATTGGTTACCATCCCATCCCACCCAACTGTGTCCCATCCTTTCCTGTTGGGCCCCATCTCATCCCATGCCACCTCATGCCATCCCATGCCATCCCATGTCATCCCATCCCATTTAATTCCATGCCATACCATGCCATGCCATGCAATCCCATGCCATCTCATGTCTTCCCATGCCATCCCATTCCCATGCCATCTCATGTCTTCCCATGCCATCTCATGTCTTCCCATGCCCTGCCATGCAATCCCATCCCA